GCATCTAACTCATATGGCTGTTGTGAAGATTCAATGCGATGAAATGAGCTAAGATTTGTAAAGCACTTTCCTCCATGCCTGGTGTGTAGTTTTTGCTATAAAAATCCTTATTTCCACCCATCCACCCCTTCCTTTACTGTGTGTGAAGTCATCTGGAGAAATGAAAATTCCAACTATTTTCCAGATCCTTCTCTTCTGTCCTCTACCAGATATTAAGCTATCAGGGGCTATCTGCCTTTGGCTGTTTCCCATTTCACTGTCCTTTATGCTAAACACTCCGTGGGAAAAGCTCTCTAAAGATCACTGCTGATTTCTGAATTGCCAGATCCAACTCGGGTTTCATTTGTCACAGCTCTAACAATTCTCTGTCTTTGTCTTTAACCCAAACTTCTGCCCACACCCCACCCCAATCCCATGTCCTCTCCTCAATATCTCAATTCAGGAACTTTCCCGGACATTTCCACATGAAAGGCCTGAAAACACAAACTGCTATCCAAGACCATATACATTGGTTTCCCACACACACAAAACAAAACAAAGCAAAAACAAAAAAACAAACAAACAAGAACTGTCACCACTCTATACCTCCCTATTCTTTTTATCTTTATCATATTCCTCAGGATCAAAATTAACATTCGTTCTTGGATGAAGTACTTTAACAGAGAGGGAGAGCTGGTGTCAAGGAGACGTGGGTTGAAATCCTATCTTTTACATACACTGAGCAGTGGGGCCCTGGATAAATCACCAAACCATTCTTAGCTTAATTTTCCTCATTTGTACAATGGTGATGATAGTGACTGTGGTACCTGAATAATAGAAGTGTAATAAGAGTAAGGATAAATTGAAATAACATTTATAAAGCACTATTCTAATCATAAAGTTCTATATAAAATACTACGCATATTTGATGATGCTTGCTCCTCTGCCAGGACAGATAGATATTTCTCTGAGGAAGGAGATAAAAGGAGAGGTTATAGGCATGTAATGAGTGCTACATATCTACCAGCCAGTTGATAAAATGTAAAAACAAAGGTCAGAGAGCAATTATAGAGTATAGGAAGGAGAGTAAAATACTACATGAGACTCTTGGGAGTTTTCTTAAAGGACTCAAATTTCTGTATTTGGAATCAGTTTCCCATAGTATGAATCGATATCCTTTATTGGAAGCTAACCATTAATCAGGAGTTTAGAAATAACAGTTTGATGGATAATGATTAGAAAATGATTCTGTCAATGAATATGATTCCATTATCACAAAAAATAATGAAAATGTGTTAATTTTATTGACTGGCAAATATTTCTACTATTTACAAAAATTATAAACATGCACACAAAGTGATTTGTATGTAAGAGTCATTTAATTAATTTTATTTCACTGGCATCTCTTTTGAAAAGAATACTTGAGTAAACTTTTTTGGATAGATTGGTGATTGGAAAATATATTAAGGTTGAATTAAGAGAAGTTTAAATAATATGAGCTTTTATAGTTAAAACAAATTCTGTCATCCCTTGAAAGTTGGATGCATGCTATCAAGTTTTAAATTGCAGAACTATCAAAGTTGGATGAATAAATCACTTCCTGACTCTAAAGTTTCTTAAACATTGAAAGGAGATTCTATTTCAGAATAGACTGGATAGTTGAGAGAGTTGAGACACATACTACCTTTAAACATTTGGCTTGTAGATCATCTTTCCTGCCTTTGACAGATGTGAATCTGAGAGTATTAGTATCTATTTACAGCTGACTCAATTATGAAACAGTAGATTTATCTGCTTTCTAGATTATCACTGGTAGCTTGGAGCTTCTGGCTTACCATTTTACTAGGCAACATCAGCTTTGAGATGGCAGTGTTTAGGTCAAAAAGATGTCACATTAGTATTTGCCTTACTTATTGCAATTATTTTATATTCCTATTATATGATCAAAGATGAAGATATGGAAGGGATCTTAAATGTCATCTAGTTCAACTCCCTCACCCTACAGTTTAGGAACCTGAGTCCTAGAGAGCTAAAATGATCTGGCCTAGGTCAAATATGGAATAAGTGGCAGGGTCAGGCATTGAATCCAAGATCCTCTGATTTCCAAATCCACACTTACTCTTCTGTTATGTTATGTATTACTCAACAAAACCACCATTTACACCACTGATATTTAAGATCAATTGATGCCAGTTCATGTAGGGGTAGGCAGAAGAGTTATAGTCCCTAAAGCGTTGGACAATTAAGTAAGGGATAAGTATAGAGGTAGCAGAGACCTTGAAGTCACCAGAAAACCCTGAATTTATCTATTTCAGATAAATCAGCATCTTTCCATCCCTCCATTCTTCCCCCAGCCAGAAATAATAAAAAATTTAGAGTTGGAAGGAAAAAGAGAAGCTCTCTATTCCTTTCTGTCAAATTCACAAAACATTTTTTACAAAATTCCTAAATGGTCATAGAATCTCAGAGACCACAGAGGTGGAAAGGAACTCAGAGGCCAGAAAGACCTGACCAAAACTCTCTGTTTTATGTGTCAACACACACAAACACATGTGCACATATGCCTATATATGTTTTATTAAAATCATTTTCTTATATTTTGGGATGGGTGGTAGTAAGTTACTTGTTTACCTGTTATAAACCTGTTGTTTACCTTTTAACATTCCCAGCTATAACATTCCCAGGATAAAGATTAACACCAAATGTCTGCATATCTCTGTGAGATTCTTTTCATATGTTCTGAAGACATAGCATACATTTGTACCTTTAGTTTTCACCTTTAGTATTTTTGTGACAGATGAGATATATAGTCCTTGGCAGACTAATGTTCTCCTAAATTAGGTGAATTTTTTTTTTCTGTTTTTTAGCCATCAAAAATGAGTTGAGAATAATAGATATTTTTAATATGTAAAGGCATACCATTACTAAGTATTCATAAAAGATGATTATCTATCTAAGAAAAAGGAGTTTCCTTACCTTAGAATTAACTACCTGGTATTAATTTATATTTATTCTCTCTATTCTGTTTAAATATGTACATGAGCCCATTGTCTTCTCTTACTGGATTAGAAGGTCCTCAGGAGTAAGGATGTTTCATTCATTATATTTGGTTTTTTTTTGTTGTTGTTTGTTTTTAGGCAATTGGGGTTAAGTGACTTGCCCAGGGTCACACAGCTAGTAAGTGTCAAGGGTTTGGTCTGAGGCCGGATTTGAACTCAGGTCCTCCTGAATTCAGGGCCAGTGCTCTATCCGCTGCGCCACCTAGCTGCCCCCATTCATTATATTTGTATTCCCAACACTTAGCACAATGTTTGGAACATAGAAGTCATTTAATAAAACACTTGTTGATTGATCGATATATGTCTGCCTATCTCTATATCTGTCTGGGTCTATCATCTATCAATCACTATCTCTCTATCATGTGTCTATCTTTGTATCTTTCTAATATAATGCTTGATTCAGAACAAGTGGTTAGTGATTCAATAAATGTCTCTACATCTCTTGGCAGGTCCAGTGCATTGCCTCATTGTCATTCACGCCCAGAGGACACACCAGGCAGGTCTGTTCTGCCAAGAGATGCGGCAGTCCGTCTATTGATATCTATTATGTCACAGAACATTTGGTAGCATTCAGTACGCTTGTATATCAGAGACATTGCCCCAACAGATGGAGTACACAATTATAATTTTCGTGAGTAATGCATGATGATCAAAAAGCACATTAAGCCATAGCATGTTGTTCTGAAATGTCCCCATTTTGCCTGAAACTGACCCAAATTTACTTATTTTTTAAACATAATCTGTCACATTGGTGAAATCATCTACACAGTCAGGCCATGACAGTGGATTGTGAGAAAAGGGACCAAAGGTTGAAATGGAGGGAGCAATTCATTGTAGAAATGAAACGGATTCTGGCAATGTCATTTTTTTTTTTGTGGGAATGTTGATGAGAGGAGACTCACATGGTGCAAACAGCTGGGTGATTTTAAAATCAGATGATAATCTTGATGGGAAACTCATAATTCTCAAAGAATAGCAAAGCAAAATTTTATTAGTTTGATAATGAAAATAGAATGGGGGGCACTTTCTCATTAATGATGGACATGTGCCTTAAAACAATAACAACAAAAACCAACAACCAAACAAACAAACAAAAAATTATTGTATTAATCACCATGGTATTGGTTTAGTTACTTAATTAAAAACTAGATAATTCACATGGTAGGAAAGAAGCCCTCCACTAAAGTCTTACTCTGAATTCTCCTGGTATCATGAGGTGCTATTCTGCTCTCAAAAGCAATGCCAGTGAAGATTAGTTCTCAGTATACACATGACCTAGGCATACCATAAAAAGATCAAGTATATAGAGCTGGAATTAAATTAAGATTCCCTAAGTCTTGTCCCCTCATTTATGTCCAGGTAGGTTAATTGAATTGCTGAAGGCTACATTAGAAGATCCTAGGGAGCGTTTTGAGAGCAGGTCTGGTGCTGTAATGAATATCTCTTGTTTTAGTACTAAACTAAGTAAATTTCAAGAGGTTCAAAACCAGGTAAGCAGTAATATGGCACATTTTTTTGGACACAGAAACTATCAAAGATGCCTTGAGTGATCAGAACTAGTAGAGGGAAAATCAAACCAGGAAAAACACACAGACTTGAAATATTCCTATATGTATTGAAATATTTAATGTGTCTTTACTGTAAACTAAATATGTATATTCATTTATATCTTGGGACTTGCATTCCAGGGTTTCAGGAAGGGCATATATCACTTCTCATTAAATTTTTATGGAGTCTGGATCTGTGCATTTTTGGAAGAACAATGCTATATGCAATAGTATATGGTTCCTTAAAATCAATTATGAAAATACAGTCACATAAAATGTATATTACAATTGAATATCACATAACTCATTGGTTGTTTTAATAATATATTTCATGAATTGAAAGAAAGATATTCTGTTAATAGCAAGAGGTTGAATTTAATCATATAGTTGTTAATGACTAAACAGGATTTCTCACCTGACATGTCCAAAACTTTGGGAAAAAATGATTTCCAGAAACGGCATTGCTGGGCACGCAATTTTGCATGTATTTTTGATGATTCTGTGTTCAAGGTAAGATACTTTTGTTCCATAGAACTGAAGACTGGCCATTTAGTTCCATTGTTCTGAGTTCCATTTGGATTTCTAAATAATAAAAGAGAGATACTTTTTTTTTTTAACAAAACTACATTTAACAAGAACAATACTGTTTCTATATTTCATCAAAAATAGCTTAAAGGGAACATATATTCCCTGAGTTCTTTTGTCTACATTACCCAACAAAAAATTTCACAGATGATTTTCTTCAATTAAAGTAAAAGATTATCTTGGGACATTAGTAATGTAATCTTACCTGAGTTTCATTCAAGTTGATAAACAAATTTCAAGTAAACCATCAACAAGAGTATAACTGACATCTTTTTATTTCTTTTCATCTGCATCTGTCAATTTCTCTATTTATTACCTACATTCTATCTAATCTAATCTACATATAAAATGTGTATGAATCTTCCTCTCCACACAACCATCTATCTCATCATCATCACCATCATCATCATCAATCTATCAAGTCTATCATAGTTGATCATCACACAATGTTGCTGTTACTGTGCATAACGTTCTCTTGGTTCTGCTCACTTCACTCAGCATCAGTCCATGCAAGTCTTTCCAGGTTTTTCTGAAATCTACCTGCTCATCACTTCTTATAGAACAATAGTATTCCATTACATTCATATACCACAAGTTGTTCAGCCATTCTCCGATGGATGGGCATCCCCTCGATTTCCAATTCTCTCTTTTCATCAGCTATTATTCATTAGTGTGATATTCATTTGCCTTCATAATTTTACTTAGAACTACCTTTATAGCTTCATCTCCCACTATTTTACTTCATTCACTCTATGTGTCACCTGACTGGGCTATGCAGCTTATCCTGTCCTTGCCCTGTTTTTTTTTTTCTTATTTCTAGACCTTTATATTAGACAACAACAACAACAACTTGGATTACAACACTAACTTTAAATTCATTAGCTGGTTGATCTCAAGCAAATTGCTTCATATAGTTGGGTCTCAATTTATTTCAGATTTTAGAGTAGAAAACATCTAATGTTCTTTCCTATTCTATAATTTGACTATTATCAATCATTTATGAAGCAACTTCTACGTGCTAGGCACTATGCTAAGTGCCAGAATCATCATCAACATCCTCTTCTTCCTCCTCATCATAGGGTTGTTGTGAGGCTAAAATAAAATCTTATTGATTACATGAGTATTAAATGGGATAATAAAAATTTACCAACTTTAAATTGGAAAGAAGCCTGGACATGTGACTTTGTTGCCATAGATAAATCTTGGAAGAGGAAACTTCATTTACCAATGCAGATGAGCAACAACTCCATAATGAATAGTCTTAAAGCAGGGGTTAACTCTAACTTTATATGTGTCATGCACCCCTTCAGCAGACTGTAATGACTGTGGACCTCTGTGCAGAATAATATATCTAAACGTATAAAATAAAATTTGTAGGATTACAAAAAAACTAATTATATTTGAATATATTTATATTTTTATAAATGTTTAAAAATATGAAAACGTTTTTTAAATCAAACTCATAGATAATAAATGTAGAACCTTTATCTTAAAGAGCTGCCTAGAACACTGAGAGGTAAAAGAATTTATTCAGGCTCAAGTAGCTGGTATTGGAGGTGAGACTTGAACCCAGGACTTCTTAATTATGAGGTCAGCTCTTAATCCACTATAATCTGCTTACTCTACATCGCAACAAGCTTTAGATAGCTGTAGATACGTCTTTGTTTTCTTCACATTGTCGTAACATCAATGTTTATTGAGAGCCTGCTATGTGCTAGGCTCTGAATTAGGTATTAGAGAGAAAAAAAAATAGATGTTTTCTATCTTTAATTGACCTACAGTCTTGCTAGGTAGATAGATGTCTTTACAATATAAATAAATGTGTGGTAAATGTCAAATAAGTTAAGTACAATATGTGTATTGCATCTGGGAAGGGCCTGACTTGAAGGCACTCAGTGCCCATCTTAACTTCTATATTACCTGAGTAGAAGTTATACTAGAGAAGATGCATACATCATCAAATAATTAACAAGCCCCTACTGAGTGCAGTATATACTGTGATTAAAAACAAACTTCCCTGCCTTTCTGACAGGGAAGAATGTTAGATTTGGATTCAGAGAGAACTAGGTTTCAGTTTTGTTTCAGATTGTGAGATCCTGGGCAAGCCATTTAAGTTCTCTGAATTTGTTACCTCATCTATAAAATGGGAACAGCACCTCCCTGAAAGAGTTGTCATGAGGATCAAATGAGATATATGAAAGCATTATCAAAATTTAAAGCAAACATTTTTAAATGAGCTCTCTTTACTATTAGATATATGGCATCCCCTGCCTTAAAGTAGCTTCCCTTCAGTGGTTCTGTTCATGATTCTCCTTCCCCTCTCTATTATTTGCCTCCTTCCAGTGGATTATGCACTTACTGAACAGGGCTAATGTGTATAAATACACATACACATATGCACATGCATATATACACATACACATATATACATATACACACACACATATATGAAAAGTTATACTATTTTAGGGGCGATTATGAGATATTTGCTGAGAGTACTTCAGCAGAGAAGATGGAATGAAAAAAAATAATTTCAAATATTTGGAGCTGGAAGGGATTTAGATGCCAATTAGCTTAGTCTCCTCATTTTACATATGAGGAAAGGGTTAAGTGATTCCCAACCCCCGCCAAGATCGTAGAGGTAATAAATGGCAGCTCTGGGATTTGAACCCAGATCCTCTGATTCCAATCCTCCTTAGACCATACTAGCCAGTATTTCTCCTGCCTGACTCTCTCAATACAGAATTTTGTTACCAGCCATGAAAATTGGTCAGTGTTGAGTTTCCACATAGTACTTAGTGTGCTCATACTCAAGTTCAGGAGATCCAACAGAGAAATAGTCCCTTAAAGGCCTGGTTGCCTTACATTGGGATTAGCTGATTTAGGAGGAATTAATCACTGTTCTAACTGCAGCATTTGCAGGAAAGACAGTATCATTCCAGGAGAGAAACCTCGTGCTTCAGGGTATGACCCAATTACTAGATGAGGTCAGAAGGAAAATTCCTCCTACCTGTCACAGACAACACCCTCATCTAGGTGAATTATATCTTCTTGTGCTTTCCTTTTAAAAGGCTCAGAAACCATTGAGTGCAGCTGCTGAAAGCCAAGGATTAAAGCTGGAAGAACCATGGACCAGATCCACTATGACAATACTTATGGTCTTAAATTGCCTACTTTCATCCTAATTCCTCTGTAATTAACTTACGGCACCACTTTCCCATAACATTCATTTGTGGCTTCAGATAATGGTAACTTAAAGCAGAGTTGACTTGTGTTTCAGTTCAAGATCAGAGAGCTAATGGTGCTGTCAGTATTCATTGCACAAACATGGAACTGTGAATAACTCATGACATTCCAAATTGTGGTCTTAAGATAATAGAATGCCTCTGCCTATAGATGCAAATATAGTTTTCAAATAAAAAAGGGAGGGGGAAGTTGAAGACACAGTCAGAATTATTGAGCATCTTAACTTAAAATTTAGAGAATTTTTTTTTTTTTGGTGAGGCAATTGTGGTTAAGTGACTTGCCCAGAGTCACACGGTTAGTGAGTGTTATATGTCTGAGACCAGATTTTAACTCAGTTCCTCCTGACTTTGGGGCCAGTGCTCCACCCACTGCTCCATCTAGGTGCCCCTAGAGAAATCTTTGGAGAATTGAATAGCATACCCAGGGGAGGAAAAAAAAAAAGTACTCTACTTATCAGCCAAAATTTATTGGCATATAATTCAGCCCCCAGAAAGGTAATCCTAAAAGCATGCTTGTATTCTCAGAAATATAATTGAGAACAGACTACATTTGCTGATGTAGTTTATTTCCTTGAATCATTTACTGTTCTTGTTACAGGAGACTTCAGAATAACAATCCTTGAAAAACTCTGTTTTGACCACTGAGATTGATTTTCAACTGCATGGGATTCTAAAGAAACTAGAAGCTAGAACATTCAAATGTTGTTGTTAGGCAGTCCTGGAAACTTTTAGGACACGACCAATCTAAATGCAATCTCACCAAAATGGGTATTTTTCAGATCTCTATTTTAGAAAATCACTCACTCATTATGGCAGTCTTGCTGTCACACTTACTTGTAAAATGAAGAAAAACTTTTCTTGTATTTGAGAGTAAGGATCATCCTGATGTTAAGAAAATAGGGCCTTTCAATTTATGCCTCAGACCTAGATTGGCATCAGAGCTTGGAAATGTGGCCACCAAATCTTGATTTCCAAAACAAAAGTTCCTAGTATTGAGTTCTGGGAGTCCATCCCTTCTGGGGGGTCATGTGAATTCCTGATTAGGCTTAAAAACTTTCAGTTTGTCTCAGAGTTGTGACAGGGGAAAGGATATAGATAGCCTTGAATTAACAGTAAGGCTAACCATTTCATGGTAATTTATCTCACTTTTTTGTACTTCAGTCTTTTTATTTGTAATATGGGACAATTCTACCTATAATCCTTAATTTTGTTTAATCATTATGAAATTTAAATCAGACAGTGAACAAGTGGTGCATGTTAAGTTTTAATGTGATTTCTCTTTCCTTTCTTCCTTCTTTTCTTCCTTCCTTCCTTCTTTCCTTCCTTCCTTCCTTCCTTCCTTCCTTCCTTTCTTTTTGATGATGGGAGAAACATTGGTGCGTTTGTAGGCCTTAGGAAAACAGTAGAGAGGAAGACATGGAAGATTAATGAAAGGATAGGAATGATAGAGAGGAAAATTTGCTAGAGAAAATCAGATGGAATGGGGGTAATTTGTGTATGTAGAAGAATAAAAACTCTCTCTCTCTATGTGTGTATATATATATATATATGCATATATATACACATACAAATATATATACCTTGTTATTATTACTCTACTATAACATACTATTAATGTAAAGTAAAAAGTCTTTTTTAATCCTTTAAAATAGAGTAAAAATCTATCATTCAAGATAATAGACAACAGCAAATTTCATGTTTTCAAACAGAATGATTTACCAGTTTTTATTAGAGAGCTGATTCTCTACTCTG